ATAATAAACGTTGCCGCAAGATTTACGTTTCCTAACCCTCCTGCGCTTGTGCCACAAGCTTGCCGCTGCTTGGCCTTGCGAGCAATGATGATGGACGCTCTGATTCGTGGATAGAGGGGCAGTCACATGAGATCACAACGATTGCAACATTTAGCAAAAGCGTCTTGTGCGTGGGCTTGTTCTCTCCGTTCTAAATTGTGCGACTGAAAGCAACGGTCATTAGCTTCTCGCAAATACAAATGTGTGCCGGAGCTGTGGCTTGATTTCTGAAACCTCTGAGTGATGGCTAGCGGAGTACGGTACATTAGCATATGTGCTTCCAGGAGGTCTGTCGCTTCGTTAATATTTGATACATTTTATTAATGATTTCATTCGACATAAAACGGTTCCTTTCATTCCAGTCGCACAAATGAAGTGATTTTACTGAGGAAGAATATCGGTTATTCCAATCATAAGAAATGAGCACGACGTCGTTAGCCTAACAGCACATTTGTCTCAGTCATTTAAAAATGATATAGACTACATTTGTTCTGACTCGTACACATTTGGGCTATGTCGGTGTCACAAAAGTGGCGCTCGATGCAAGCCGATGAGTACTCCTACCTTAAAAAAAAAATTGTTAATTGATTGCTGAGTTTCCTCACTGTCAAGCAAGGACATTTCTTCATCCCTAATCGAGGGAAGGAAGCTTTCTGCAAAACTACGCGATCGATCTTAATTAGACGTCATGCCTCACAAGTCTTCAAATTCACCCTGATGGGCCCCCGGGTCCGAGTCAACCATTCAAACTGTATTACAGTATTCAACATTTGTGCCATATTAATGACGCAACCTCAGAGAGATGAATGCGCAAAATGAAACCGATGATGTAAAAAAAAAAGTTGCGGGCCAACTGTAAAACGATGCTTATTGCTGGCCAACTGTAAAACGATGCTTATTGCTAGCATGATGACACAACAGAAAAAAAGATATGACTTACAAGTTAAAGTATTATTGGGGAGTTTCAGAGTAAAGGAGACGTTTACATACGCAAGTTAAACAGATAAATGTGTTATCATCCAACGCACAAAGCCACAATCCGAACAAATCATTTTGAAATGAGTCATCGGTTTGGTGTACAGATCCAAAATTTGTCCTGGCTAATCTCATCAACGGATGTGTTAAATGTCAGCAATCACACTCGTTTCCTGGAATCACATCAGCACATCGAGATACAGTCAGCATCAGATACAGTAACACGGAGGTGGTGTGTGTAGTCTGAGGTGCAGTGTAATCCTAGGCCGGCAGGCAAATATAGCCTATTGCCGCTTTGGGCCGGGCTGAGTGCCGCTCTGCTCTGCTCTGCTCCGCTCGACCTTGGCTCCATCCTGCCCTCCCTTTCCTCAAACTCTTCTCTTCACAAGGCACCGTCCTCCGACACTCTCATGCCATTTCTTCACGTTGCTTTCACAAACTATCCCTGTCACGTCGAGCTCTTTCGTGGAGATCCGATGTCTTTTTTTTTTTTTTTAATCTTGCACAGCAAAGAACTGATGCTAGATGAAACAACAACCATGCTAGCACAAACACAGCTTCACTGTTTTTTTTAGCATCGGAGAGCTTCTCATCTCAAGTCAATGTTGACGATAAGGATGCAGCGATCGAATATTTTGGCGTTCGGATATCATCGTACTGAAAATTTCTAGTGAATGATCGAGTATTTGGATGGGGAAAAAAATTGTTTTGTCAGAATCAGACACACACACACACACGCAAACACGCAAACACATCTTCACAAAGAGCACACACTATCCATTAGCAGAACTTCAACTCTATTGCATTAAGTGCATGACTCAAGGCTTGTGCAGAGCCGACGGCAACAAGACATTTGACAGATGACTTTATCCCGCGAACGAGAGACAACTGCAGGTGAACCCCCATTATTACTCCACATATAGCCATCATCGGCTGAGTATTCGGCAACCAGACTTTTCTTTCGGATGAGATTTCTAAAAGGTGAGACAGATGACACAAAAATGGTCCCTACGGAGGACGCACACACACACACACACACACACACACACACACACACACACACGACAGTATCCATCCATTTTACGAACCGCTTTATCCTCACGAGGGTCGCGGTGGGTGCTGGAGCCAATCCCAGCTGTCTTCGGGCAGTAAGTGGGGGACACCCTGAACCGGTTGCAAGCCAATCGCAGGACACACAGAGACGAACAACCAGACGCACTCACACTCATACCTAGGGACAATTTGGAGTGTTCAATCAGCCTGCCATGCATGTTTTTGGAATGTGGGAGGAAACCGGAGTACCCGGAGAAAACCCACGCAGGCTGGGGGAGAACATGCAAATTCCACACAGGGAGGCCGGAGCTGGAATTGAACCCGGTTCCTCTGCACTGTGAGGTCAACGTGCTAACCACTGGACCACCGGGCCGCACACAACAGTATTTCCAAAAAAAAAAAAAATTTTTAACGAATGTGGACAGTATGCATTCAAACTTAAAGTGAAAGTCCCACCATATTGTGTGACTGCAGTAGGTCCCCAAAATGAATTGTGATATTTATTGATTGATGGTAGATAGATCTACTTGCCTAAACGGAAAATTTGCAGTTGTACAGCAAGAACCTCGCCTCGCAGAGACTTGAGTGCTAATTAAACTCCTAATACGACGTTGGTGTACTGCCAATCCGGTGTTATGAGAACATTTTGCTTGAAACTGCCGTGGATGACCTTTGGACAAAGGGATTTGATTTAAAACAAGGTTACTGTCACTTGATTACTATCCTTAGCACCTCCTGATGCCTACTGTTTCGCTCTCTGTCTCACAATCGCCTTGAGGAAGAAGGAGAAAAAGACAATTAGCAAGAAGGTAAATAAAGCTACGGTTGAACGTGTTGGTCAACAAGGGCATGAAATAGGATGAGACAAAAGTTGATTTTGGTACTTGACATTTAAATGACTAAAACTTACTGTGTACTAGTTTTGTTATTTTTCGGAAACAAGATTTCGTTTGGCCAACATCCCAGATTCTAATACTGAACGCGTCCAAGAGACAACTGTAAAGACGTTTTGCTCTCGCGCTAACGACCAAACGGACTGAGCCTTATTCCGCATTTCGACTGTACAGCAATGCCACAGACACTTTACAAGCTTGACAAAGGAGGTACTTGGTATGGGAAGATAAACTGCTTTATTGCACACAGGTTGTTGTTTTGCCTCAAGGAAATAGCGAGCTTGCCCACAATAAGCACTTGTAAACCTTTTGCGTTTACCGCCGCGATATCTCTTTTACAAACTTATCTCCTTCATTCTCTCCCCCCCCCCCCTTCTTTTTGGAATAAGTTAGAAAACGCTGAAGGAAAAAAAAAAAATAATGGTCATCTTCAGACGCTCAGTTTAATAAGCTCCTGTGAGATTTACTGAGGTCTGTCGTGACGTCATGCACGCTGACGGTTGGACTTAGAGGAATAGTTCCCCTGATGGTTCCGCCGCACTTTAGATTTAGTATGCATCAAACTTACAAGTCAAAAACGTCAAACCCGGAAAGTCAATTCAAATGAGCTCTTTATCTTGCAACGGCAAAAAAAAAAAAAAAAAATAGGAGCCATAATCATCCAAATTCATCAAGCAAAAGTGGGGAAGAGGCAGGACTAAAATTCTGGAGCGGCATTATTTATGACGCCCAAGAAAGATGTCCTAAAAATTTAAAAGAGGTTACACAACATGCTTACCGCCTGTCTTCAACATACACACACACACACACACACACACACACACACACGCACACGCACACGCACACACAGTATGATAATTTGCCATCAATGTTGGACACAAAAGAACACAAATTCAACCCTCAGCTGTTCAGTGTGGCATCGAAGCTCACAAATCTGTTTCAGGACGTCGATCAACCTTAAATTTCAAAATAAAATGTCCTGTTGCATTAATGAAATTTGGAATAATTAGTTCCAGAGTTTCAACTTTTCTTCACTGTCCAGGCAGTGGTTCAGGTTCCATCTAAATTGTGTCTAGTTCGATGGGCTAACAGCGACCTGATTCGAATTTTGTCTTGTCAGGTGGGCTAGTTTAGTTGCTCCCCGTTTCGATGTACCACAGTAATGTCAACTGTATGGCAACATTGCGATAAAAAAAATCATGTATTTAGATTTTGGAGTGGAAAACCTATGAAGCCAGCTGCCACCACTTGTACTGAATACTTGTCATATCTTCTTCTACAGCGAACAGGATTTTTTTTTTTTTTTAAAGTTTGCCTTGCAATCCAACTGACAAGCATGCAATATATGAACTAGATTAAAATATGCAATATTCATTCTCATGAATCATTTTGGGGCTGCCAAGGTTGAGTGCACAGGCAGTACAAAGCTCATAAAATGTGCACCAAAAGGCATACCCAGCGTGTGAGAGTTTCAGCTACACTAGAGGAAGTGGGGAGGTTACATTTGAAATCGAAATTGTCATTTAATTCTTGACTACAATCGACAGCATGTCACTAAAATGTCACGAGGAGGTTCGAATTGCATCTCCAGTATCATCACCTTTCCCTCCATTTTGCACTGGCCCCGTTCAAGCAGAAGCAATGTGGGGAGAATGCCACGAAGCAAAAAAAAAAAAAAAAAAAACGCACTGAAGGGCATCAAACTACACTGGTATGAATTTGAGACGTGACTGCAATAAGATTTAACCCTGGACAACGCTTCAAGTGAGAGTTCCATGAAGGGAAAAGCCTTTCAGAGCCACACCTCCACTGTCAGAACAATCATACACCCGCACACACACACACACACACACACACACACACCTACACGCACACACCCAGCAGCTGAGGCCCTCGGACCAACTGGGTCATTATGCATGTGGAACTGCATGCTTGCTACCAGTCAAAAAGAAACGCACTGCCAGAACGACGGCTGACGATGACGAGAGTGCCTATACCGAGGCGACGCCGTCACCTGCCTCATCGGCGGAGACAACCTACCTTGCGCCTGCGATCCCTGGATCGGTTCCTCTTTTTGATCTTCTCCTCCTCCTTCTCCCGCTGCTCCTGGGCGGCGGCCTCGGCGAGGTCCTTGGTCTTGCGGAGCTGCTTGGCGGCTTGCGCCATGGTGCCACTGCTGCTGCTGCTACAGCTGCTGCTACACTGCTGCTGCTTCTGCT